TTTTTTGTTGATTTGCTTTGTTTTGTTTTTTTGAATGTCCAGAGGACCAGATTTAACTTTTTTAGATTTTTCTACCTGGATTATTGAGCATGCATCAGGATATATGGGTGAACAGATTTGACTCACTATTCGGCAAGAAACTGGTCAGTTTTGTCTCTGTCACCATTAATTAATGCATAATAAGCAGTTATTAACGATTTATAAAGCATTTATAGAGGAATTGATAATGTATCTATAAACTATTTATTAGCCATCTATAAGGGGAGCCTTATTGTAAAGTGGTATCAGTTTTATTTATTGAATTTTGCTAATACATTTAAAAACATTTAACTCTAAAGTCTTTATTTTTTCTGTTCAGTTTCAAAATGTTTGCACATTAAATATAACTGAGCTTATTTTCCACCCTCTGTCCTCCTCTAGGAGTTATCTGGACATGGCTAAAGTCTTGGTGTTTCGTTACTTCTTCTGGTTTGTGCTCTCGGTGGTCTTTATCACAGGGGCCACTAGGATCTCTGTGTTTGGACTGGGCTACCTACTGGCTTCCTTCTTCTTTCTGTTGCTTGGAACCAAACTGTTAGTCAAGTCATCGAGGACTCGCCTCATCCTCTGGGACTGTCTCATCATCTACACCGTGGCAGTTATTATATCTAAAAACGTGCTGTCTGTGAGTATAAGAATGACCCATTTTGCTCTTCACCTTTTAGTGAATTGTTTTAAAATGTCAAATTCTGTGAAGTTAAATGTTCAAAAGGAGTCTGAGAGTAATCCATTAGAAAATAAGAACCTGAATTTTCACATTTCCACAAGTATTTATACCTTTTGCAACAACATTTTTTCTTGATCTCTGCTGAGATGCTTCTACACCTTGACTGGAGTCCACCTGTTGTAAATTAAACTGGTTGGACAGGATTTGGAAAAGCACACAGCTCTTTATTGAAGGCTTATGTGAAAATGAGCAACAAACAAACCATGAGGTCAAAGGAACGGCTGCAGAGCTCAGACAGGATTTTTTCAGGACGCATGTCTCAAGAAGAGTACAAAACATTTGTGCTGAAGGATCCAAAGAGCTCGGTGACCTCCATGATTTTCATATGGAAGAAGTTTGGGATGACGAGGACCCTTGTAAGAGTTGGTCATCATGCTGAGCAGTTGATGGAGAAGGATCTTAAGTGAGACAGGTGATCCAGAACCTGATGGTCACTGACTGAGCTTCAGAGATCCAGTGAGGAGATGGGACTATGTTCTTGAAGGACCACCAGAACAGCCAGGCATCCACTGATCTGTTTTGCCCTCCATCCAGAAGGCTTCATCAGTCTGAGGCAACACCAAACAAAACTGATGTTCTCCCAACAGTTTACTCCAAAGTGGAAAATATCACCTCTGTTGGTGCTAAGATGGTCTCTGGGGCATGCCCTCTCCTCCGGTGCCCGCCCTCTCCCTCGTCAACAGTCATGTCGCACTGGTTCAAAACGCCAAAGTCCATGCTCAATAATCCAGGTATAAAATCCAACAATGTTCAGTCAGGTCATCTGGATGGTTTCTTTTTTGTGCTGAGACGTTTTGCCCTCCATCCAGAAGGCCCTTCAGAACAAAACATCTGAAAGCTGCTTGAAGGACTCAGACAAGAACCAGATTCTCTGGTCTAATAAATAAAAGACCGAACTGCTTGGCCTCGGTTCTAAATGTTTGTCTGGAGGAAACCAGGCACCGCTCATCACCTGCCCAACACCATTCCAACAGTTTTTCTGCAGCAAGTGCTGGCAGACTGGTTAGGGTTAAGAGAAAGTTGAAAGACGCAACATACAGAGATCTTTTTAATGAAAAGGATCGACCGGTCCTGGTGAGCAAAGCTTGTTAAATCAGATTTGATGATGTAACCACTGCTTGGGCTCTTCAACTCAGCACCAAGTGAAGAATCTGAATACTTATGGAATGAATACTTATGATATTTCAGTTTCTCTTTACAGTAAATTTACAAAATTGTCTAAAGTTCCTTTTTTCACTTTGTCATTATGGGACTGAGTGTGGGTTATTGAGGAAAGAACCAGGTGTAGCATCAGGCTGCAACACAATGAAAAGTGCTTCTAACATAAAACAGATTTAATGGAGTGATGAAGATGTAGTTTTCTGCTGTTTTACAAGAAAAAATAACTGATTTTAAATAATTTATTGTTTTACTTTGATAGTTTTAGTTCAGTTTTGTTTGTTCAATGGAGGCTATAAAGAAAGTTATCATTTGTATGTAGTTTCACAGTAAATAGTTTGCATGTCCTCTCCTCAAAACTTGGGAATGTTTTGCTCTGAAGTTTAAAGTAAAATATTCTTATCATGTGCAGAGAAGAAAATGCTTCGGAGGACTCTAAAATCTGTGTGTGTGTGTGTTTCAGATCCTGGCATGTGTTTTTGTGTTTGAAATGCAGAAGGGATTCTGTTGGGTAATTCAACTCTTTAGCTTGGTTTGCACAGTTAAAGGATATTATGACAGTAAGTATCCAAAGAATTATGATAATTTACATTTTTACTCCCAATAGTATTTTATTACATATCATATTAAATGTAATTGATCACATTTAATTGTTTGTATTCCTAATGCTTCATTAGTCACATTTCAGCTTTCTGCATTTCCCCAAACTAGTTTTCAGTATTAGATCACACGGACTGAATGTACTGTTTAAATATCTGATGTAAATGAGATTCTTTACCTCTTTCCTCCTCTCAGCGAACGCTGTGAGTTCTGAATCCTGCAGCCTTCCGGTGGAGGAAGCAGGGATTCTGTGGGACAGTTTGTGTTTCCTTTGCCTGCTGCTGCAGAGGAGGGTCTTCCTCAGCTTCTATTTCCTGCACGTGACGGCAGAGCTGCAGGCTTTTGCTAAACAAGCATCAAGGTAAAACACAATGTTGCTCAGAGAAACTGAAATGGGCACTTTGTTGCTGCATACATTTATTTATTTATTTTATAATTGATCACAAGCCACAGTTTCAGAAAAACCCCGGGGGGGCGGGGGGCATCAGGTCACATGTTCTCCAGGCGAATTCGGATAAGGTGCCCTTCAAGGCCAGACAGGGGAGCCAAATTCAGATAAACACACAGTTGTTTTGAGGACAGGCAGAACTTAATGACATCTACCTCGAGTCTGTGTTGGTCCAAACGATTCCGAAATGCGTGCGTGCCAACAGGGCAAATTGGCTCGCCTAAAGCCTGTCTTCTCTTCGAAGAAATGTTGTAAATTGAGTTGAGGGACTAACTGATCAAAACAAGTCTGTAATTATAGTTCGGAAGAAATGCAAGAGAGTCTCAGAAGCAGTTTCACAGACAGATGGAGCAGCAAAACAAAGCGGAGAGAGAGGAGGGGAAAAGCGTCCGACCTCGGCGAGAGCAAGTGGTGAAGTGAAACAAACAAACATCATGTTATCTCTTGCTGGAAAATTCTGCAGTTTCTAGCAACGTGTTATTACACAATGATCATTTCTGTAACTAATCAAAAATAAAGCTGACAGGATGGTTGTTGTAGCTCCTCAGTAGCAGAAGCATCAGACATTCAGAGGGAGTTTGCAGCAAACGCCTCTTTCACCACTTGAACGTATTGAAGTTGGTGAGTAAGCAGGAAATTCAGCTCAGTATCGCACGTTATCTTAATTCAAACTTTGTTTTCCTGCGCTAAATGAGACTTGTTTGACAAGTTTAGTTGCCCCAGTGATGTAAAACAAAACCTATTAAAATAAGAAATTACAGTTTTAGAGGCATTTTGTTCAAACTTGATGATAACATTGGGCATGATTTTCATGTGATATTAAGCAATGTTGCTCGACCTCTGAGCACTCAGAGTGTGCGTTGTAAATGACTCTCAGCTACTACCACACCAAAATTTAGTTCAGTATTTGTACAATTGACTGAGCTACAGACTTTTTTGTGTTTACTAATGTTGATTAGTAAACAAATTAGTAAACAAAGTTACCGGGGTGGCTGTGGCTGAGTGGTTAGAGCAGTCATCCTCCAGTGCAAGAGTTGGGTTATTCGAATCCACCAGCAGTCACATGCTGAAGTGTCCCTGGGCAAGACACTGAACCCCTCATTGCCTCTGATGTGTGTCCCATCAGTCTATGAATGTGATAAATCTCTGATTAGTCTCTTTAGAATGATTTGTTCAATTATCTTTGTAGAGATCTAGTAGAGTGCTGTATGAATGGGTAAATGAGGCACAGATTGTAAAGAGCTTTGAGTGTCTCAATAAGACAGAAAGGTGATATATAAGTACAGTCCATTTACCATATCCAACTTGAATTAGACTCCATAAGTTTTCAGTTGTATATATAAATTTAATCATACTTTCTGAGAATTAAGAATAAATAATAATTAATGGTTCATGACATAGTTACCAACAGACAAACAGGGCTGACACCAACAGTTTTTAAATGAACGATCTTGCAAAATATTTAGCCCTCGTAGTATGTGTTGGGAAGGACTCTTTTTTTAAGGTCAGTTTACTGTGGTGACCATCTTAATTGAGGTCGACTCCAAACGTTAATTAGTTTTAAAGTTTATCCAATGAATAAGCAAGAAAGTTCATGCTCAATAATCCAGGTATCAAATCCAATAATTCTCAGTCAGGTCATCTGGACCGTTTCTTTTTTTATAGA